ACTAGGCGTAAGGAAGTGAGTGAGAAGAATAGTCTGCAGGAAATAATAAAGCTAATAAAAAGAATTTGAGCCGGACTGCCTGCCCGTTTTTGTGGCAAAGGATTTAAACAAGTTACCGCCAGTTACTTTTGATAGTAGACTCTCTAGAATCACTCAAAAAGGATCTAGCTGACGTTAGGCTTGCATTGAAGGAGCCGCAAGAAAAAAAGAATTGGGGTTAACCCTGCAACCTGTGATACATATTCATCTCCTATATCTTGGGACGACAAGATTCCCGGAAGGCGGGTAGTTAAGAATAAAAGTGCACAGAAATCGCTGTTAGCCAAGATAAGCGCGCACGCGTCCACACCAGCCGCTCGCCCTCCACCAGAGCCCACAGCGAGAGCATCGTGCTCACCTACGACGTCGCAAGGCGCAGCGAACAGTAAATCAGTCCTACAGTCCAGCGGTACAGATTCTAAATAATTGTCCAGTCAGCCGAGTTATGCTAAAGTTGCGGACGGTTCTGACTTGGATCCTAAATTTGCGCTTGATTGCGATTTATTAACCGTTTCCGAACACAATGATAATGTAAACAACTCGCACGTTCTGTCACTAAAACCGATAAAAGAGGGGAACTGGACTACAGTGACAAGTAAACGTTAAAAGAGACTAGAGAATAGAAAAGGAAAAGCGCATCCAATAAGCGAATTTAATTTAAAAGCAGCAGAAAGAACCTTATCCCTGTATATATCACGAGTACACAGAGATAGTACGGCGAATGACATTGCTGGCTTTATTAAGTACAAGACTCAACTGGAAACGGTAGTTACTAAAATTAATACGTACGAAAATGTTTTAATGCCTTTAAAATCACAGTGCCGCTTCACAAGGCTGATCTCTTTTTGAATGATGAGGGGGATCAATTTTGGCCGCGGGAATTGTTTTTAGAAAGTTTAGAGAGCGTGGGTACGTGGGTCGCCCCGTACAAAGAGAACCGAGGAATGAGAACAAAATTACTAATAAACAATATGGATAAGTCCGATATATCATTTATTTCCTTCAACTGTAAATCAGTTAAAAGATCTCTTGTTCAAATAAGAGAGTTTTGTAAAAAATATCACTTTCTGGCGCTCCAGGAAACCTGGTTTTTCCCACACGATCTAGGTTTTTTTTAATACTATAGACTCAGAATTTGAATCCTGTGGAGTATCGGCAATTGACACGTCTGAAGGATTAATCCGCGGAAGACCCTATGGTGGTGTAGCACTTCTATGGAATAAGCGAATATTTCCGAGTGCGGAGGTCATACCTTGCTATAATAACAGGATGTGTGCTGTGAAGCTAAGCCAAGGAAATAGACATGTGCTCGTTCTAAGTGTTTATATGCCTACGAACAGTGACGACAACCTAGCGGAGTTTACAACCTTTTTAGGAAATATTAGTGCAGTGATAGAAAGTGCGGATATAGAATCAGTTTTTGTTCTAGGTGACTTCAATGCCCACCAGGATTCACTTTTCGCAAACGAACTATTAAATTACTGTTATGAGCAGTCGTTGAGTTGTGTTGACATCGATGTTCTAGGTAAGGAATCCGACACGCGGACATTTGTAAGCGATGCGCACGGGACATGTCGATGGCTCGACCACTGCATCGTGACTGCGGCCGCCGCTAGCGCAGTGAGTAGAGTGTGTGTATTATATGACGTCTACTCGTGTGATCACTTTCCGTTACTTGTTCAGTGGACTATTAGTACAATTATACCTATAGAAGTGACTAATTTAACTAGTAACAAGCCAAAGATAGTATGGGGCAATAGAGACTCGGCGGAAATTCCGAAATATAGTACCATAAGCGATTTTAATTTAAATAATCTTCTAAGACAAATTAGTTTTTTTAATTATAATATTATATGTAACTGTGATATAGTTCGTAAGAATAGTGACCATTGTACTTCATAAATGAATTTTATAATAATTTTATTAAGATATTACAGACTAGTGCAGAGAATAGTTATAGGCAAATAAAAGATAAAAAGCCACCTGTGATTTGTTGGAACTATCACGTGAGGCATCTACATATTAAAGCTAGATTAAAGTTTAGTGTCTGGGTTGCTGTTTGCAAACCATCTTCTGTTTATTATTATAATGAAATGTCTTCAGCTCGTAAGGAATTTAAATCCGCACTTAAATTCATTCAAAACCATCAAGAAAAGATAAAGTTAGATATATTGGCCCGAAATAATAAACCGAAAAAAATTTGTACAATTTTGGAAGGAGGTGAAGAAAATAAATCCTAAAGCGGTTCGTCCTATTAGTATCCAGTGTGAGGTGAATCACACAAAGATAGCCAACCTTTTTAAAAATAATTTTAATGTTGACGTGAAAAATGAGCAAGATACACCCCAATTAACTACTCAGAATCATACCTTGTTGAGTACAGAAACATCTTATACTCAGCTAAATTTCGAGAACTGCTTAGTTACGGAGGAGGATGTGGTATCCGTCTTACGTAGCATAAAAGGGGAAAGTTTCCGGGATGTGACTACCTGAGTATAGAGCATCTGTTGCATGCCGGTCAGTATATTTGTGTAGTCCTCTCTGCATTATTTAACTTATGCATGCGCCACTCATACCTGCCAAATAATCTATTACGTACCATTGTGGTGCCGCTTCCGAAGTGTAAGACTGGAGATCTCGCAAGCATGGCTAATTACCGACCTATATCTCTTGCCACTGTTGTGGCCAAGGTATTTGAGCGTTTGATTCAAGCCAAAATTACATCCAACGGTCAGTTTGGTTTTCGACCAGAGCTATCTATTGATATGGCTATTTTTGCCTTAAAACAAGTAGTAAATTACTATGTTGATCGCGATACTAGTGTATATGCCTGCTTTCTTGATTTGAGTCGCCCTTTTCGACACCTTGAATCATGATCTGCTATGGAAGAAGCTAAGATCTAATAACGTTCCTGCTGGTACTGTTGACCTGCTCACTTATTGGTATAAGAGACAAATCAATAATGTTAAATTGGGTGACTCTCTGCCCGATGACTACACGCTGACTTGTGGAGTAAGGCAGGGGGGGGCTTACCTCACCCGACTTCTTTAACATCTATGTGAATGACTTGATCGTGGAGCTGAGCAGAACCCCAGTCGGACTTAGGCTTGGCAACCGTTATGTAAACAACCTAAGTTACGCTGACGATATGGTTCTGCTCAGCCCTACAATCAAAGGTATGCGGAAATTAATATCCATATGCGAAAAAATTGCTAAAGATCATAGTTTAATTTACAACGCAAAAAAGATAGAGATGATGCTTTTTAAGGCTGGTAAGGGCCCAACTAAAGTACCTGAGGCGCACGTGGCGGGTCAACCCGTTAAAATAGTTCAAACGTTCAAATACCTCGGTCACATAGCGACAGCGAACAGAAAAGATGATTGCGATATAGAACGACAGAGAAGAGCTTTGTCTGTCTGTGGCAATATGATTGCCAGGGGGGTTTGTTAAAGCTTCCAAGGAGGTTAAGACTATGCTCTTCCAAACGTACTGTCAGTCTTTCTACACCTGCCAGCTCTGGACTGAATATGCGGGGCGATCTTTGAATGGTATTCGTGTGCAATATAATAACATCTTTAGAATGCTTATGGGTCTCAAACGCTATTGCAGTGCTTCAGGCATGTTTGCCGAAGCACGAATTAATACGTTTAATGCCATTCAAAGATTCAGAATCGCATCATTCATGTCCAGGGTTGGTGAGTGTAGAAACAGGATAATTAGTGAGTTTGCGGAAAGACTGCCGGCCACAGCCTTTTATCAAAAATGGCTTAAGATAGCTGCTTGACGTGATGGTTCCCTCCATTTAGACTTAGATATTATTATAATATTATTATTTTTAAATTTTTAGTAATTCTGTACTGTATTGTCTTTTTTTGTTGGTAATTTATATGGGTGCAATGTGCCTGAAATAAAGAGAATTTATTTATTTATTTAATATTCCGCTGTACCAGCTCTGCCAGACACATTATTTTCTATTAAAATATAGACGTAACATTGTTTCTTTGAAATGTGCCCGGACTTAGTTTTTCCTCTTATTAATGTTCTATCATCAGCACTTACTCTGATATTACACTAGGAAAAATTTTGTGTATCGCTACATATTTCTATTCTATATGATCCATGAAACTAAATATGTTCCCTATAATACGATCTGGCTTGCTTTATCTGGTAAGTACAAAGAGCAAATTTATAATAATTCACTATAACTTAATCTAGAAAACATAAATAAAATATCTCGGTCAGCTGTTATACTCTGAAAAATAGTAGACCTTCTTATTCAAATTTAGTTCCTCAACCAATAGGGCAAAATTATGTTCAAAGTTCATTCTCTCTCTAATTATTGCAACTATTTAATTAGATTCATCTCTATCACAAAGACGAACACCAAATTTGTTAATATAGTTTAGTTATTTTATGTACCATACTGTGGAAAATTGTCAATAAATTCCCGTCGAGGACGGTATATTCTTTGGTGGAAAACTAAAAAAAAATAATGTTTTGAACTCATTGCTTGATGCATGCTTGCCAATCATAAAAGTTAAAACATAATTCTGTATAGTATCCCCCTCACGATAAAAATCCCAACGATAAAAATCCTATCAATAAACATCCTATCGATAAAATGGCCTTGTTGTTAGTATTGTGTGTTTGATTCGAACTTCGTTCACAACTTTCGTACTAAACTTAACAGTTTTCAACTTTCTTACAAGCCATGAAGCATTCCGTCTTATTCCTCGAGACGACATCATAACTAAACTTGAAGTTTGCCATTTACCATCATTGGTGGACTACGAGTTCGTTTGTCACTTTTATTTTATTAAAAAGTAACAGTACTTATGCTGGACAGATAAAAATGTTGAATCGGATTTTTACTAGTTTAAAAAAAATATTAGTCTTTACTACGTTATACTTATGGTAAAGGAAGTTGTATATTGATTTTACTGTGCATCATATGTAGAAATTAAGCATATATTTTTGTGTATTTTTTTGTATCTTTCATAAATAGTGGTTTACAAGCAACCCATATATGACTTTTTACAGCATTTTCGACAGCACGGATATTTTTTTTATTTCTGTTCAGTCTTCGGGCGGTGTCCAAGGAATCTGGCTCTTTTGTATCTGAACTTATAACGGTTTCATTGGTGTTTGAGCTCCTTCGACTTTTTTTGCCTACTTTATTTAAACCATAATTTGGACATTTTTCAAAATTGCTCTTCCTCTTTTGCTTCCTTTTCTGGCGATACTCATTTATACGTTTTTTTTCTAGTTTCCTCTTCAAAATCCATTCATCAAGTTTCTTCTCTATCTTTAAACGATTTTCTAAATTAATTTTAGCTTTACTTGGCGGACCTTTTGCTGTAATCATTATCTCAGGATTAAAAATTTTTTCCAATTCGTAATGTTTCATTTTGCGAGATCGCCTTGAATCAATATCAGAAACAGTGTCGTTAAATTCTATTCTGTTTTTTGTTCCGTTGGAACTGCTGAGATCAGAAGTTTTGATGAGTGTATCATTAAAACCTTTGCTTTCTGCACTGTTTAGTTCAATAATTTGTGACTTGAGTATATTTAGGTAGTTAATACCTGCCATTGCATCTGTGTCGTTATTTTCTTGTAAAGTTCGTACGCTATCGTCAATCGCCGCATTAATTTGTTGGTGAAGCTTATTTTTTTCTATTTCTAAAGCTCTTATTTTCATGTGGCTATCTTCTTTTTTAGTATTTGCCAAAACATAAGTAATAATAAAAGAAACAACAACGAATATATATTGTAACTTCGGGTTGTCATACTTTAAGGCAACTTTGTTTTGCATAATGATTTATTTTATAAGAGAAGTATTTTATTTCATTTTATGAAAAAAATATTATCGATTTCATATGAAATATTTTACGACTCAGATTCCATTTGAATTATTTTTATACATTATTGTTTATTGAAAGTACCTTATCTTGTTTTTGCTCAAGTTAATAGATGGTGTGAAGTTTATGATTTTTTGCTGGTAATTACAGTTCAGCTATTTACAGAAAGAAATAGATTGAAAAATGACAAAATTAAAAAAATATTGATCTCATTTTTCTCATTTCAAATTTGGTTTTTGCCATTCAATGTAAAAAAAAGGTTGGGTTATTGTGACGGCTATGTAGCAAATACGTACACGAATACAATATTATAAAAGTTAATTTACTTATATTATACATTACTAATGTTATAACACCACACGCTCGCGTCCTCATAAAAATGATTTGTCGTAATCACTATACTATGTAGATGGATCGGCAAAGGCAATATCAGTTATATATCGCATCGCATTTGTCGCTGCTTCTCACCGTCAGTCAGGCCCGAAATGTTTCTTGCGTTTTTTTTCGTGCTTTCTCATACCATTTACTAATACTAAAGATATCGTGCGCACTTTAATACTGCTCTTCCCTATCATTCCTTCTCCTTCTCATGCCCCACTGTAAGCCATGAAGTAGTATTACAATGTAGTATATAAGTTAAGGTAGGTACTGATTTATGTACGGCAGTCCAATAAACTTCTTAATCAAGCTCGCGTGTTTAATTCAATCCTCACAATATAACATGGCGATCTTAACCTTGAGCCATACTGTGTATAGAAAAAAGACCCATACAGATAGATATTTAAACGGTGATTCTCACCACCATCCTTCACAGTTAGCTACCGTGGGTAAATCTTTGTTTCAGAGAGCACGAGGGATCTGTGACAGTAAACACCTGGCTGTCGAGCTCCAACACGTCAAGCAAGTTTTGCACGACAACAAGCTTCGGGTCCCGCGCCTACGTCACAGAGATATTATAATGCAGCATGGCAAATATTATAATGCAGCATGGCTCTACCACGTATATAATATAATCACAGAGATATTATATACGTGGTAGAGCAATGCTGCAGTTATATGAGATGTATAGTTGTAGCACGAATGGGTCGGCTCGACCGGGGAAGGACCACGCTCTCACAGAATACCAGCGTGAAATAGTAGCTTAATGGTGCTGTATTTCGTATGGTGAGTGTAGAGAACCGGAGACCCATTTTACTGGAAACGAGGCATTCCATCTTAGTCCTCACGGGTGACAACGCATCTGCATTTTGATTCGTAATCGAGGATAGATGTAGATGTCTATGGGCCACAGCAACCACTTACCATCAGGTGGACTGTGTGCTCGTTTGTCACCCTATCCTATATATATATATATATATATATATATATATATATATATATATATATATATATATAAATATAAAAAACACAGAACAAGTGAAGCCGGCCACAGTCGAACGTGTACCTGCTGCTCTGCCATATGTTAGAGGAGTCACTGACAAGATTGGCTACATCTTGAAGCGCGCTTCCATCAAAATATACTTCAAGCCGCCGAAGAAGATTGGTCAGTTTTTACCATCAGTCAAGTGTAACGTCCCTCTGCAAGATGCAGGAGTGTACAAGCTTGATTGTGAATGTGGTCTCTCCTACATAGGACAAACTAAAAGATCAATTAAAACCCGCATTAAAGAACATATAGCTGATGTGAAGAATTGACGCTCCGGGAAGTCTGCAGTCTGTGAACACGTACAGGATCGCACCTGTCTCTACATCGGATTTGATTGACCATAAATCCTCGCTAAAGAACACCGATTCCTTCCAAGGATGATTCGCGAGGCTATTGAAATCAAAAACCATCCTAATTTCAATAGAGAAGATGGCTGGGTGCTACCATCTGCTTGGGATCCTATAATAAATAAAATTAAATCCCAACCCAAGCATATAACTGCAAGACTTCATGACACCATAAGTTCATACTGTGTAGATCGGAACAAAAGTTAAATTTTAATCTGTGGTAGCCGCGGTTAACTATGACATCTGGACGTTGAACATCTTAGTTCTTCCCGTGACCATGGGTGTTGTAAAGCTCTCGAAACGTCGGGTAATTAAAAAGTTAAATATACGCGATAAATTTCGTAAAAAGAAGAATCCTGTTGTTAATCTCAATCTAAATACACTCCATGTAAACCACTAACCAACATTGGTTACAGTTAAAAGTTAAAGTTACAACCTATATACGTCCCACGGCTGAGCACAGACTTCCTCTCATTTCTGAGAGGATTTTAGGACAAGGAAATGTCCGCCTTGCATTCCCAATGCGTGTTTGCGAACTTCAGATGTCTTCGAAATTATCATCATGATCGTCATTAAATTTTATAGCTTTAACAGAAATTTTATAGCTTAGTCGTAATCAGGAAGACGCTGCTGCTCGTCTTCCGATTTGTTTCCCTGTCGCCGGTTACGACACCGCGCGATGACACTACGTCACTACGTTGACTACAACCGCTTAAGCGTAATATAGCTTTGCAAGTAATCATTTAGTTTTTTAATTATTTTTTAATATAAAATAGAAGTTACCAGCGAATTAATAGACCACCTGATGTTAAGTTAGCTACGACAGCCCATATTTTTTTTATTATTATTATTTATTTAATTTCAAGTATCCAAGACTCATTTTCATTTACATTACTTTTTTTTTCAAATTATAATTATTAAAAAAATTTAAATCTAATAATCTATGATTAAAACTACTTTTACGGATTTTATCGCGTTTATTTTTACTTTTAATTACTTTTATTTTTAATTCCCGACGTTTCGGGCGCTTTCCAGCACCCATGGTCACGGGGGACTGAGATGACGACGTCCCGATGTCATTGTTAAACCCGGAGTACCATCAGCTTTTTTAATTATTGTTTATGGTCCGATCTATGCAAAATGAACTGACTATGTCCTGAGGTCTTGCAGTGGTATGCTTGGGTTTAGTTTTAATTTTATTGATTATAGGATCCCAAGCAGGTGGTAGTACCCAGCCTCCTTCTCTATTGAAATTAGGATGTTTTTAATTTCAATAGCCTCACGTATCATCCTTGGTAGGAATCGGTGTTCTTTCGCGAGGATTTGTGGTCTATCAAATCTGATGTAATGGTTGGGGCCGTCTAGGATATGATCACAAACTGCAGACTTCCCGGAACGTTGATGCTTCACATCAGCTAAGATCAGCTAGGTAACGGAACCCATAATGGACAGTTTAAGACCAATTTTTTATGTTTTCTACTATCTTTTGTAGATAAACGTTCATGTTAATGCAATTGAGGTTGCAAACGATTAAAGAACTTATTGGTAATAAGTTCATTTATTAAAAAGTACACTATTCTTACAACTTTTAGAAATATACTTAAAAAAACAAAACCATTTAAAAACACCAGTGATGGACAGGGTTAGTTCCAGTTTTGGACATCCAATGTTGGAACAACCTCCAGTCATGAACATCTAGTGATGGACACTGAACATTTATGCAAGGAAGAAAATAAAACAAGTAATTTATATTAATCAGTCTTTCATACTTTTTATTGAGCACAAAACTGTTAGTTTTTGTATTAGAAATATAAAAGCAAGTAAAACAATAAACTCTAAAAGAAAAAATACCCGGTAAATATTTTTCCATTTCTTTAATTTTATAGAAGCAATATAGATTATATAGAGAAGAAATATAGCTTATTTAAGAGCAAAGGGTCATTAAATTTCTCTATAACATCTTCTGCCTTGTACTATATTTTATCTGGCTGATCTGGCCATCTGAAAGAGTGTTCTACACATAATACCGTTATACTTATTTCGTATAAATTTCGTTCTGTTTTTTCTATTCTACCCGGGAAATATTCTCCCTTATATTTTACACTAACGTAGGAGCCATTGGTAACACCTATAGTTTTCTTCATACACTAAGTTTTCTTGTTAGAATCTATTTTACTCAAAGGTTCATTTTCAGAGTCTGATTTGCCACTTTGAGCATATTCGGAGTCACCGCTTTCAGCATACTCAACTTCCATGTCATCATTGTCATCATCGGTAAACAAATCTTGCTGCCTTATATTTTCCGTTACTTTTTATTGCTGTTTCTTTTCTAGAATCATCTTTTCCTATAATATTTTTCTGTCTTTTCTTTGTTTTATTCGTTTTCCTTTTTCTTCTTTTTTTTCTCATGTAATATCTCCATGTTTCACTAGTTATAGCTGACCAAAATAAGACACGTTTAAAAGGTGACGGGACTCCCCGTTTTATGGTAATGTTGTAGAGGTTGAATGATACGACACTGGTGAATTCGTTATAACAGATTTATGTGGTGTAGCATATACTGTTTAAAAAAGATTGCTCATTGTTTCCTTGTCCAGTATGTTGATCGATTTTTTTTCCTCTCCTTGTGCATTCGGTGTTTGCGTATTCTGTTCTGTTGTGATTTGTTCTTGTACATTCTGTTCTTCTATGTTCTTTCTTTGTACATAAAAATTTGGTGCTTGTGTTTTGCTCTTGCATTCTGTTTTCCAGTGTTCACTTTTATAATCTGCCCAATTTCATTTAGTCCTTGTGTATTATTTTCTGTTAGGATCTGTACTTCCGCACTCTGTTCCTCTTTATGCTCTCTTTGTGCATTCAGTTCTAGTGTGTTCTGTTCTGGCGTGGTCTGTTCTTATGTGATCAGTCTTTTTATGGTCTGTACTTATGTACTCTCTCTTTGCATGTACTGTTCTAGCATTTTTATTCTTAGTCCCAGTTACGGACAGGCAGTAATGGACATGGTTGTACATTATTGGAGTACGTTATAATTTCTTAAATACTTCAAGAATAAAACGTAACATATTATTGTCGGAGTTCACAGAATACAAAATTGGCGAATTTGTTCAAAAATCCAGTAATGAACAAAATGTACATGACTGGGTAGTAACATGTTAGAGTATCCAGTGTTAAACATAGCCTTTAATTATTTATTTCTTGCCTTTAAAATATGCAAGGTTATATTACAATTCTTGATCTACTCCTAAAACACGAAACAAACAGACATTTAATAAAATATGCAAAACTATTTCAGAAAAAACGTAATTATTGAACTCACCAGCATCACGATGCTTACAATAATGTAGGATTTATTCAACTAAACGTCACGACCACGTTTTTGAACTCTTCCTGTGAACGAACAAAATGTCTCACGTACTGGCAAATGAAAAAAATAGCTTCGGTTGGGTCTATCACTCGTGGAGAATATTGCTAGTTATAGGAAATATTCATAGTTTGGCTATTTTTGATAGATAAAGAAGGAAATGTCCATCACGGGTGCACTGTCCATTACGGGTTCCGTTACCTGATGTATTATATGTTCTTTTACGCGGGTCCTAATTGATCTTTTTGTTTGTCCTATATAAGAGACACCACATTCACAATCAAGCTTGTACACTCCTGCATCTTGTAGAGGAATATGACACTTGACGGATGGTAGGAACTGACTAATCTTCTTCGGCGGCTTGTAGAATGTTCTAATAGAAGCTCGCTTCAAGATATAGCCAATCTTGTCTGTGACACCTCTGACATATGGTAATACAGCAGGCACACGCTCGACTGTGGCCGGCTTCACTCGGTCACTGTGACGTAGGCGCGGGACCCGAAGCTTGTTGTCGTGCAGAACTTGCTTGACGTGCTGAAGCTCGGCGGCCAGGTGTTTGCTGTCACAGATCCCTCGTGCTCTCTGAAACAAAGAATTGCCCACGGTAGCTAACTGTGAAGGATGGTGGTGAGATTCACCGTTTAAATATCGGTTTGTATGGGTCTTTTTCCTATACACAGTGTGACCAATGGTGTTATTAGGATTTCGGATGACTAACACATCTAGGAAAGGTAAGGAATTATTTGCCTCTAACTCCATAGTAAATTGAATTTTAGAGTTTATGGAATTAAGATGTTCTAAAAATGCAGTTACTTTGTCTGATGGTAAAATTGTGAAAGTATCGTCTACGTACCGATTGTAGATCCTTGGTGTAACAGGTGCAGTAAGGAGGGCTTTCTCCTCAAAGTCTTCCATGAATATATCGGCGACAATGGGAGATACAGGTGAGCCCATCGCAACACCATCTACTTGCTTGTAAAACTCTTCCTTCCACAATAGATAGCCAGATGTAAGGCAATGTCTTAGTAATACTGCATATTCTGCTGGCATGTTATTTTCCTCTAGTTTCCTAGTTATAATTGAGATGCAGTCTTCAACAGGTAGGCATGTAAATAGGGACTGAACATCAAAACTGACCATGGTTTCATTGTCAGTAAGATGTAGGTCTTTTATCTCACTGACAAAATGGTATGAATCCTTAGTGTGTGCTCTTGTGTGTCCTCTGAGTGGTGATAATATTTTAGCTAAGTATTGAGCCAATCTGTAAGTTGGCGAATCAATCTGACTCACTATTGGACGTAATGGAACATTCGGTTTGTGTATCTTTGGTAACCCATACAACTTCGGTGGTTTGGCACATTAACATAATGGTATTATAACACATCACTTTGCTTTATTGTCAATAGTTTCCGCAGCGTACGCGATATAAGGTTTTTTTTTTGGTATTTTTTTCACACCTTGGGTTAAATTAACGAAGTTTTCATACGGATTCCTAAATTTTTTGAAAACGTTCTATCGCCTATGTTCATCAGGAATAATGTAGGATTCTAATGGTGAAAGAATTTTTCAAATCGGTTCAGTAGTTTCAGAGCCTATTCAATTCAAACAAACAAACAAACAAACAAACAAATCTTTCCTCTTTATAATATTAGTGTAGATATAGTTGTAGCACGAATGGGTCGGCTCGACCGGGGAAGAACCACGCTCTCACAGAATACCAGCGTAAAATAGTAGCGTAATGCTGCTATGTTACCACCATACGGGTGAGTGTAGAGAACCGGATACCCTTTTTACTGGAAACGAGGCATTCCATCTTAGTCCTCAAGAGTGACAGCGCATCTGCATTTTGATTCGTAATTGAGTATAAATGTAGATGTCGTATAAAATATACACTTTACACTAAATTTTTAAATAACGTATTAAAACTCAAACATTTGCAACAAACGAACATATAATTACTTTATTATTTTCAGTCATACATATTTTATTTATACATATTTTTTAATACACTTGTAATTCTACCATACTAACTAATTATGATGTGAAAAAGTAAATTAACCATTAAGGATATAATCATGCAATGATGTGTGTAACGCGGTATCTAGTCACTTAATTTGCTTCGTTCTGTTTTAAGTTGAATATTATGGTAATCCAATCAATAGAGTTAGAAAACTCTGTATAAAAATCTGTATCCAGTGCTAATCTGTATCACACACCGAAAATCTGTATAAATACGGGGAAATCTGTATATATGGCAACACTGATTGACAGTACTGATTATGAGTGGCCCAGGATTCCAAGCTAATTATTGTTTTTCAGATTCTGGTTGTATTTGACTCTTTATTTAACGCTGCACCTTAGCCTAGCCCCGATCTATCGCATTAAAATCAGGCAAGTTACAATGTATTTCTCCTGCGATAACAACAATTTACCTGTTGGCGACGCGCCTATAAGAATATTTCAGTTTATTAAGTCAACCGATGACGAATAGCTTCTAAAAGGCAAATTGTCCAATAGCAATGTTCTAATAAGAAAATGCTTAGTTAAATCTTAAAGAAATGTCGAATTAATGATATGAAGGTCTTGGGTTCGACTCCCAGGCCGGACTAGTTTATTGTTTTCTTAAGTAATATCTCTTAATAAATTCATATAGGGAATTTTAAGATATAAATTATGTAAGTTACCGGATTTGTTCCCCGGTTGAAATCATCTTTCCAATGATGTAAATTCAAAGGAATATTAAAGTGAAGTTACAGATCGGGTCGAGATGATCACTCTGTGCATAAATAGAATTAACGGAAATTAATTGCATAAGTATTGTCTTATATGAGTTTGATATGTTTTGTATGAAAATAAATGCCTATTTGCTATGATTGATTTATGAGAACATTCACTTATATTGTTATCTGATAAGAAACATGATAACTGATAAGAATCTGATTAGTTTCCTACAGTTTGAAAATTGTGTAGAAGCATTGATTCACCTTAATATCGTCGATATTGGTGTATATTAGACTTTTCATTTTTTTTGATAGTCGAGAGCCGTGCAAAGTTAGTTGTTCAAATAGTGTGAGTTCACGGACGCACGCTAGCCACGCCCTTAGGAGGCTAAATATGTAAAAATTTAAATATTTGTAATTTCGGCAATTTATGTAAAAAATGACTTGTAAAACATTTCAGGTTGATTGTACGTGCTAAAAAAGGTGAATATTGTGTTATTTTTATGTGAAAATTCCTGTGTATAAGTGAAATAATGATAGTTTTGTATAAGAAATTTAAAAGTGTTTTAATAGTGAAATGAATAGAGAAAATGTAAATTAAACTGTTGTATTGGTTAACTTATGTACAATTTCAAGTGGAAAACATTGTTTTAACTTTCTATGTTAAATATTTAAGAAATTTCGACTTTGAACTTGTGAGTAAAATAGGCATATTTTGTTAAATAAATAAAAGGTTTTTTGTGATATGAAAATGTAATGTATATCGTAGTGTAGATATTGTTTTGTGCTATCTATACAGGTAAATTATGTTGATGTATGACTTATGCAAATAAAGTAATTAAGTAAAACGTGAGAGAGTAATAGAACAAATTCATGTAATTGAGTTGCGCAAGCGCGCGAATGGCGCGACTCACTTTCGCGTATTGCTCTGGGGTAGCTCAGTAAATAAGTTTTATTGCAATTCGTTCGGGAATCTTTCGGGAAATGTTCGAGAAATAAGTACGAAAATCCTTCGGGAGAAGCCTCGATTCCTCCCTTCTGTTTCTTAGTTGAACGTTTATGCACACTTTTTGGTTCCTTTTCAATTGGACCTTCGGAGCCGGATTAAGAGGACCACCCGAACCCCGCCGGCTGGTTCTTTTCAATTGGTCCTTCGCAGCCAGGATCAAGGAACCAGCTGTGGACTGCTGGTTGTGGAGAAAGAAGACCTTCGGAGCCGAGTGAAGATCAGCAACCGAAGGAAGCCGGAGGTTTGAGCTGAAGCAATAGGACCAAAGGTCAGAAGGCCAGGACGTTAGCGCAGAAGGACTGGACCTGGAACTACCGGAAGAAAGAAAACCGGGATTGCGGCTTGGGGCGTGTGCTCGCATGGAGCACGTATCGCAGCCAGGCGCAAGGGCCTTGTGAAGGTGCTCATCGTAGCCAAGCAGGGCTTGGCATTTTTCCTGTCGGGCAAGCGTGCTCGGCATTTTCTGTCGGACGACCGTGTCTGGCATTTCCTGTCGGACGACCGTGTCCGGCATTTCCTGTCGGGTCATCAGAGGGTGCAAGATAAAGCATCCACCGCTGCTGCTGCCAGGCGAGGGTGCGCGTGGGCACCTGACTGCATCGCGGCCGGAGGAGGGCGCTTGGACGAGGCGTCACCGGCGATTGGGCGGCGAGCACAGCATACATCCCGACCACCTAACAGTGCCAAACGGTCGGGCTCTGGCACAACACCTTCAGGTGGAGCAGTTCTCTCGAGCGAGACTGCGCTTGCACTACCGCTCGACTGTTTCGTCATATTCCTTGGCGGGACAGTTCCTAAACCTTTCCTCCATTCCATTCCTGCACGACTCCATCCCTGGACGGCTCACCTCGGTAGGCCCCGTTCAGGATTGATAGGGCTGATAGGGCTGTTAGGGTGGTAGTAGGGTTGTAGGGTTGGGAGATAAGGGGGGGAGGGGTAGTGGGGTTAGGTTGGGGTGTAGAAGGGTTGTAGGTAAGGGGTTGTAGGGACCGTAGGGACAGTTAGGGACCGTAGGCCAACATTCCCTCCACCGTCCCATGGTCCTACCCGCCTTGCGGCATACGGACCGAATCTCGGGAGACGCACACGGTACTTGCTCTCGGCTCTTTCCCCGCGTGCGCTTGCTTGACTCCCTACAAGTTTCTCTGATCCGTCCCTCTTCTCTACATTACACTTCTCCCCCTTCTGGGGCGTGACTCCACAGCGACGACACTTCGCGTTCAGCAGCTATCTGGTCGTGTTATTTAGTCCTCATATTGTTTCCTCTTGTGATGCCATGCATGCGCAAATCTCCTTAATTCCTTGAAGTTGGATTCGCAGCACACTAGGTCCCGGAAATAAACTGGTCCTATTGCTGTTCTTTGTATGCTGTCCAGTAATGTGTTCCTTTCTTCGACATACAGATCACAATCCCATAATGTATGGTCACGACTCTCCAGTGCAGATCCACAGGGGCATAAACCGGAGTTCCTAAGGTTGAATTTCAGGAGACGCTCATTGAAGCAGCCGTGAACAACCAGAATCTGCGATACTGCATAATCGGGCTCGACCCATCTGAAGATTAGGCGCTCTGTGATATCTGGGAAAAACTTATAAAGGTCCCTGCCATCTTGGCTTGAATCCCATCGGTCCTGCCAAATGGCAACGACAGCTGCCATCATCTCCCGCTTTTTCTTCCTGCGCTCCTTGTCGACCAGACCCGTCCCCTCCTCGTCGACTCGTCACGCGCGAAGAACTTCCAGGTCGGCAGGCAATACGCCCGCCAACACCGGTAACGCTGCGTTGCTAGCCGTCCTGTAAGCCTTGTTGAGAAGACTCAAAGCTGATCTTTGCGTCCTCATCAATACGCTTCTGATAACATGGAGGGACGAGCGTCGGTACCATACGGCAGCAGCATATGTCAACGTTGCCACATATGTCCCTGAATACAGGACTCTAAGGGCGTGAAATCTTATGCCCCAGGTCGATGAAGACAATCGCTACATCTTCCCGAAGCAAGCAGCGGCCTTCTCGCCGATATATAATTCATGCTGCACATAGGACCTAGCCTCGTCCAAAATTATTCCCAGGGCTTTTGCCTGTGAAACACTCGTGATCGTAGCACCGTCCATCTTGATAATTGGTCCACGTTTAAACTTGCCCTTGTAGGTCATCGTTTGTGACTTCCCAGCAGAAAACCCTAGTCTATTACGAACACCCCACTCGGACACGGCAGCGGTCATAGCTGCCGCTTTGCGCTCTGTTGCGGAACGAGACGGCGCTTCGATCACGATCGTCACATCGTCGGCGTAAGCTACGAAGTGTACTCCTTCGGGTTTTGGCAGCTTCAGGAGGTCATCGAGTAGGAGGTTCCACAGGGTTGGTCCCAGCACCGATCCTTGAGGACAGCCCCTCGTGGAGACCTTCCACACTACCCGATTTCCAGCAAACAGTCCCACTCGGCGAGTTATGAAGTAACTCGATAAAATACGGTAAATATTAGGTGGAACACCACATTGCTTTGCCTTGAGTAGGACCATTGGCCACCAGGCATTGTCGAAGGCTCCAGATATGTCCAGAAATATCAATTGCACGTAGTTCTCGGTTGAACCGCTGGCAGTGCGGTTGATAGTGTTAAGCGCGGTCACTGTTGATCGGCCACGTGTAAAGCCATGTTGAGCGTCGGAGATTCCGCGATAGAGACATGGAGCGCAGGAAATAATTACGCGCTCTAGAATTTTTTCTAATACGGGCAACAGGGTTATCGGGCGGTAGACCTTCGGGTCAGTGAGCGGCCTGTCGCCACCCTTTGGCAGGACAACCAATTTGCCCATCTTCCACAGATTCGGAAAAACGCCCTCGACTATGCACCCCCTGAACATGTGCCAGATCTCGTCGCCAGTAACCCGCCATGCCTGTCTAACAATCTTAGCCGTGATTCCGTCAATGCCGGGAGCAGTGTTCGGCAGCTCTCGAATGATGAGTCCAACTTGTTCCTTGGTTGGTGGAGCAGCATCAGTTCCAGATGGAGCACATGCAGCAGCGATTCGCACTTGTCGATGGTATTCCGTGTCCCGGGCTAGATTATCGTCTGGGCATAAGGTGGTGACGAGACTAAGCATGGTGTCTCCGGTCGTCCTAGTATAGCCGTCGGCTAATTTCATTCCACTAAGCACGTTCAGAGGTGGACGAAATCGTCCACTGGCTGTTCGGTAAGCCAGGCCCCACGGGTCGGTGTTACCTGACTCCGCAACGGAGCGGAAGAAGGCAAGTTCAGCATCTTTCATGGCTAACTTGTAGCGTATTCTAACTGCACGCAGTTGATAATGTAGTGCCTTCTCCCTGTCGCCTCCTGCGCGACGTGAAGCCTGCCACTTGCGACGTGTACAGTAGACCTCATTTCGCATACGGTCAAGAGCCGGAGACCACCATTCGTACCCTTCTTTTTCCTTTTTAGCACGTGTGCCTAATCGCTCCCTCGCAGTACGAAGGAGTATTGCAGAGTACTGCTCACAGATTTCATTAGCTGGGCGCGTTAGCCTCAGCTGGGAAATGCGGGCGTGCAGAGTCGAACAGAAACCTCCCCAGTTCACACCACGTTCACGAAAGTAACAGCCGTTATCTGAAAACTCTGTGCCATCGTACATCCGTGAGTCGCCAAGGATAACGCCAAACGTTATCAGCTGGTGGTCACTCACACTGACACCCTCATGCACCTTCCAGTCGGCAACCCTCACACTACGTGTGGAGATGGTGATATCCACGTTGGATAGGCCGTAGGCCAACAATCACCTTCCTGCAAGATGAAGAAGGCACAAGACCAGACAGGGAGAAGCGAAGGGAGCAGGAAAAGGACAGGGCTCTCAAGAAAAGCTAAAGAAGCGGAACCATCTGGAGCGACCACAGCTACTGCGTCAAATGGAGCAACTCCTTCAAGTGGAGCCACCACCGACACGTCCACATGCACGTGGGACTCAGGGACGTCCATGGCAACGACAAGCAACAGGACGGACACCAGTGGCACGCAGGCCAGCACCGCACAACAATCCGTTATATCCAGGAGGACCGAGGACCGAAGAAGCGGCATCGTCAAGGACAGTAATCGGGCACACTAGTGACAAAGGGTCACCGAGAGGTAGTAAGTCATCGCGATCGGCGAGGCTGAAAGCCGAATTAGAAGCGCGGATTAAATTCGAACGCTCAGAGCTCGAACGAGCACAGGCAGCTGTTGCCTTAGCCAAGTCTCAATTGGAGTTGGCACGACCCAACCGAGAAGAGGAGATCGACTCGAGTGAGGATGATGAAGAGCGGAATACTCAGGTGGAACCTTTTGTAAGGAGTTGGGTTCAACAGACCATAATGAGTGCGCCGGTTAGTGTAACGCAACCCGATATTACTGATAAGGAAGCGTGTAAAGGATCACGCCGCAAAGGGGCGGAGATCGAGCGCAACCAAGGAAATGCACAGAAAACACACGCGAGTGAGGTGTCAGAATTGACCGAAGCGATTGTGAGTGCAATAAAGATAGCGGGTAAAGATAAGTCTTCCCAGCTTCATTTCCTCCAGGAATTACCGGTGTTCGATGGAGACCCGGGTGAATGGATAGTTTTCAAAACGGTGTTTGAAGACACGAGAAGCAAATTTTCAGGGGTGCAGAATGTCGCACGCCTTAGGAGGGCATTAAAGGGCACCGCTAAGGAAGCGGTTAAGTCATTGTTGTTTACTTTGTGTGAACCTGAAGAAATAATGAACGCTCTCGATAGAAGATTCGGTAGGGTTGAGATGCTCGTTCTAGCCGAAATCGAGAATGTAAAACGTATGCCACGATTGGCGGAAGATTGCCGAAATATAGGATCTTTTGCAAGTCGTATTACGAACGTGGTTGCCACAATACAAGCGTTGAATCAACCACAATATTTATACTCACCGGAGTTAGTAAGCCGCATAGTGGAGAAACTCGGAACTATGATTAAATTCAAATGGTTTGAATATCGAGCTCAGTATCCTTTGGAGCCAGAGTTACAGAAGATGGCCAAGTTTTTAAATTTATTGAGTGAACAATTTGGAACGTCCTTAAGCAATGAAAATGTGCCTGAAAAACGGAAGCATCCTGAATTCAGGAAGCAAACTGTACACACTGCAAAGGGGTGTGAACGCAGCCGTGCCAAGAGCGAGCGCTATGTGCGCCGAAGTAATACGAGCGAACGTCTAGAACGCCGAAATAATAAAGGGCACAACCGACAAGTGGTTATGACAACCCAGGACAAGCCTGTAAGTCGGGTAACACATAAGTGTGTTATATGCAACAAGGAGCACTCTATAGTGAGTTGTTACAAGTTTAAGGACATGAATATTCGCGAGAAATGGGACGCAGTAAAAAAGCGAAAGTATGTTTCCAATGTTTGTCACCTAACCATAGGAGGTCAGAGTGCAAAGCGAAAAAATGTGGTGTAAAGGGATGTAGAATGTCACATCATCGAATGCTACGCCGATACACCAATGAAAATACCTCGCCGCAAGGGGATGAGGGGGGTAAAGAGGCTCAGATTACAACTGTTAGTACGGTGAATGCACTGGCATGTGCATACTTAAAAATTATACCGGTCGAGTTGTATGGACCTAGAGGAAAGGTCAAGACAACAGCTCTTCTGGATGAGGGATTGACCATGACACTCATAGAGGAGTGGATGGCTCAGAAGTTAGCGCCTCGCGGACGTAAAGAAGGATTACGTATTGAAGCCGTGGGAGGTAAGCGAATTAACGACGACAGTTCGTATCGCTTAAACGTTAAGATAAAAGGCATTTACTCGAGCGACTTAGAAGAGATAAGTGTACAAACAATTAAGTCACTTAACCTTTCTCCTCAGTCGGTAAGCCGAGAATTATTGCAACGGTGTTCTCATTTGACACCGATTAAGGATGAGTTGATGTATGAGAGGTCCAGACCTACTATATTAATTGGCCAGGACAATTGGCATCTCATTGTTACTCGTGAATTAATTTCAGGAGGTAATAACCTACCTGTAGCATCGCTCACCAAACTTGGATGGGTTTTACATGGTCACATATCGGGTGGCATCAAACCAATCAAGATTGTTAACCACATTTCCACGAAGAAGGAGGAAGACATGGACAAGTTAATCAAGGATTATTTTAGTTTGGAATCTCTGGGAGTGTCCGCGAGAAAGCCCGCGAACGACCCAGAAGAACGAGCTTTAAATATTTTGAGCAAAACGGTACGTCGTATACCTAATAATAGGTACGAGACTGCTTCGTTATGGCGCACAGACAATGAGTGAATGCCATCGAATAGAGCGCAGGTTGAAAGTCGCCTGTTTAATATCGAAAAGAAGCTCGACAAAAATAGCGAGTTGAAAAAGGAATATGAGAAGCAAATTGAAAATCTCATCGTTAAAGGCGTAAATGCGCTGAGAAAGCAAGAACCGTTAAGTCTACCCGACTACGGACGATTTAGCAGCTTTAAGAAATTCCTTGGGGCAACTACACGCACCTTACAAGCGGTAGAAAAATTCAAGAGTTTAAGAAAGTCGGTTAAAGGACCCGATGGCGCGTTGGACATAGCGCTCTTAAAAAAGCTGAATTATTAATTTGGAAGTTCGTTCAAGACGAGTGTTTCCATTCGGAAATAAAATGCTTGAAAGCAGGCAAAAGCGTTGAAAGAAGTTCACGCTTAAGTAAATTATCTATGGAAATAGGAGAAGATAATTTACTCCGTTTAAATGGACGTTTACCTTTCAAGTCTAATTTGACGGAGGAAAGTAGAAAACCTGTCGTATTAGACGGTAAACACGAAATCGTTAAAATGATGATTAGAGAAGTTCATCATCATTTTGGACACGCCAATCACCAGACGGTGATGAATGAGGTGAACCAGAAATTTTATGTCTTGAACTTACGTGATGTAGTACGAAGTGTGTCTCATCATTGTCAGTGGTGCAGGACATACAGGTCAAAACCGCAGAACGTGCCACAAGGAAATATTCCTCTGGAGGGAATAGCTCACAATGACCTTTTACATGCTCAGCCGTGGATTATTTCGGACCTATGAGTGTGACTATAGGAAGGCGACACGAAAAACGTTGGGGCGTTTTATTCACGTGTCTGACCACCAGAGCAGTACATCTGGAATTAGCAGCCTCATTGACACCAGCGTCAATGATAATGGCATTGAGGCGATTTATCGCCAGAAGAGGAAAACCAGCCGTTATATACAGCGATAACGGGACGAATTTCAAAGCTGCGAATAAAGAATTATTGAAAGCATGCGAAGAATGCTATGAGGGCATGAAGAATGAGTCATTTAAGAAATATATTAAATGGAAATTTATACCTCCGGGAGCACCGCACATGGGTGGCGCCTGGGAAAGGTTAGTAAGATCGATAAAAATTGCGTTGACCGCTACGCTCAAAGAAAGGAGCCCGGGATGCATACGCTGCTTTTAGAAGCGGAGCATACGGTAAATTCCAGGCCTCTGGTAACATTCAGTATGGTTAGTCCTGAAGAGGATTTTACACCCAATCATTTTCTTCTGGGACGCTCATGTGGTGATCGACCACCTGGATTATTTTTAGAGCAACATCTGACGGGTCAACTCAATTGGAAATCTGCACAGAGGTTAGTCGACCATTTTTGGACGAGATGGCTAAAAGAATACATGCCTACTTTAATACCTCGAACAGGTAATAACGGAAAGTTCATGGAACCTAAAGAAGGCGATATTGTTTTGATAATAGATCATTCATTGCCACGAAACACGTGGCCGAAAGGCAAAATTAGTAGAACGCTACCGGGACCAGACGGTCACACCAGAGTGGTTGACGTCATTACTAGCACAGGTATCTTGAGGAGACCTACATCCAGAATAATAGTGTTGGTACCCGCGACGCCTCCCAAATAATGGTGCTTACGCACGGAGGGGGAGATTGTTGGCGACGCGCCTATAAGAATATTTCAGTTTATTAAGTCAACCGATGACGAATAGCTTCTAAAAGGCAAATTGTCCAATAGCAATGTTCTAATAAGAAAATGCTTAGTTAAATCTTAAAGAAATGTCGAATTAATGATATGAAGGTCTTGGGTTCGACTCCCAGGCCGGACTAGTTTATTGTTTTCCTAAGTAATATCTCTTAATAAATTCATATAGGGAATTTTAAGATATAAATTATGTAAGTTACCGGATTTGTTCCCCGGTTGAAATCATCTTTCCAATGATGTAAATTCAAAGGAATATTAAAGTGAAGTTACAGATCGGTGTCGAGATGATCACTCTGTGCATAAATAGAATTAACGGAAATTAATTGCATAAGTATTGTCTTATATGAGTTTGATATGTTTTGTATGAAAATAAATGCCTATTTGCTATGATTGATTTATGAGAACATTCACTTATATTGTTATCTGATAAGAAACATGATAACTGATAAGAATCTGATTAGAAATAGTTTCCTACAGTTTGAAAATTGTGTAGAAGCATTGATTCACCTTAATATCGTCGATATTGGTGTATTTAGACTTTTCATTTTTTGATAGTCGAGAGCCGTGCAAAGTTAGTTGTTCAAATAGTGTGAGTTCACGGACGCACGCTAGCCACGCCCTTAGGAGGCCAAATATGTAAAAATTTAAATA